AAAAAACAAACAAACATACAGTGCAATAAACCCATCCCAGAGCGAGCTGGAGCAGGCAGCCTGTCTGTGGGTCTTCATCCGAAGGAGCTGGGCCTCTTCCGCAGGGCTTCTGCCACCTGGGAGCAGACATCCCTGCCCCAGAAGCGCCTCCATGGGTTCATCATGGATAATAAATAGGAAAATGGATACTGAACGTGAGTTTAAACTGAAATGCCTCCGTGTTCTCCGCTGCCTTCAGGAGCAGCTTTTTACATTCAGAACAACTATTCAAGTTAAAAGGAAGAAGACTCACAGTCCCAGATCCCGAAGCCAGGGGCAGCCGGGCTTTGGCCCTCCAGCAGCAGCCGCCGCCGCCGAGCGAACCAAAATTGATCTGACGGGCTCTGGACCTCCCGGCCTGTTTCTTTCTCACACTTTGCTCGCTCCTCCTTAGCGGCTTCCTCCAGCTTGCCCCGACCTGTGCTTGCAAAGGAATCCACCGTGCAGAGGGAAGGTGTCGGATCTGGACACACAACTTCCTGCACCCCCACCCCCACCCCAGAAGCTCCATTTACAGTGAGTGGGGGGGGGGGGTAAACACCATAAGAAGGACCATTTGTTTTCTTAAATGCAACCATAAATAATTGGAATAAATATACATCAAGTCACTTTACAGCACACACATTTGGGGCCAAAATGCGGCTACTCTGGATACCTTGGTGGTCTCTGGGAGGGAGAGGGAGCATCCACCAGTGTGGCAGCTGAAAGGTATCTGTGAGGTATTTGAACAAGAAGCCCCCTCGAGAGAAAAGCCCCCCCCAATCTCTGGAAAACAGGGCTATTGATCTTTTGTGGGTGGAACAAAGTTAAAAGTCCCTGTGTTTTTCTCCTGAGCGCTAGTAAATGCACCGTATCGCCTCTCCTTAGCCTGAAAACGGGAGGGGGGCACCTCTGCCGGAAGGTGGGCCAGAGGGCTCAGAGGGATGACTGCGCAAGGGAGACGATGGAGCCCTCCCCCCTCGGCCCCTTGCCCTAAAAACAGTCACGCATCTTCCCAATCATCCCCAACCTCCATCCACACGTCACTCAGGCCAAATAATTAACAGTATTCACAGAAATATACAATAAATACAGCTCCCCCGTGCCTACGGACGAGCAAAACCATTCCGGGTCACGTTGCCCGGCTGCCTTTAGAGGACAGCTGGCGACATCCCGGCTTCTGCGGGGAAGGAGGTGAGCCGGGAGTGCGGCCGTTGACATCTCCCAGACGGCACCCAGCCAAGCGGGGCCCTCTGAGGCCTTTGGGGTCTTGGGTTGGAAAGTGAGTGACCCCCAAATGGCTTGATCCGACACCATTTTTGTTAGATGTTTGATGCTAGTCAAAAGACGCCCCCGTGCGTGCGTGGTGTGTCATTCAAAGCCGGGGCGCCTGTGTAAGTCTGCAGAGTTCCCTTGGAAACCCTTCCATTGAAATAAAAATCAGAAAGCCAGGCGGATCCGTTCGGTCTTTGCTAAGGAGGAGCCCGGGATCCGCCTCTCTAAAGGCAACGTGCGAACGGGGGTCTCGGGAGGACCATTTCTGAGTGCAGGGCGGAACCTTCGGGGCCAGCTGGGTCCGAGCCGATAAAGTGGGTGATCAGCAGCGAGACAGGCAATCCCCCTCCCCACCCCACTTTAGATCATCACAATTTAGGCTTTGAGCAATCGGGAAGTGATCGTTGTTTATCACCCTAACAGTGGAATGTGTGAAGTTACCCCCTCCCGAGCCTGGCAGAAAGTGAGAAACGCCGGTTCTTCTCCAGCCAGTTATGTTGTGCCCCAATCACCAAAAAGAAGTGTGGCAGCTTCACTGCAGCACTCAGAAATGGTGGCGGAGGATCTCCCCCTCGCACGGCTGATCCCCGGAGATCCCCTCGGCCGTGAGCTCCTTCCCGATGAGGACGAGACGGGGGGATCCGCCAGGATGGCAAACATCGCTCCCCGGACTAACTTTTCTACAAGGCGGCAGCAGCAGCAGCAGCAAATTCCATCCACCCCAGGAGTCTGCAAAGAGGAAGCGGGAGTCTTCCACGAAAGGCGTTGCAAGAACGAAGGCGAGGACCAAGTTCACCTCCTGCTCTTGCCTGGTCGTGGCTGGACTTCTCAGACGCGTCCTCTGAAGGGCCCACCCTTGAAGGGGAGCAGCTCAACCGCTGAGAGGGTCCTCCCGATAGTGGATGGCGTACCGGAGTTTTTCCAGCATGATCTCCAATGAAGAATACTGGGGGAGCTTGATCATGAACATGCAGGTCTCCACACGGATGTACCGCGAATCTGGGGAGCCTGTGAAGGAAGGGAAGGAAGGAAGGAAGGAAGGGAGGGAGGGAGGGAGGGAGGGAGAGTCAGTCAGAAGGGAGTTTTGCTTTTCCGATGGATCGTTATACACAACTCTGACTCTTATTCCCCCCCCCCTCTCTCTCCTCTCTCTCTGCTATCAGATTACAGATAAATGTGCTACTCAAGGATGAAACAGCCGGCCAAGTTGTTCTGTTTCAAATTACAGTGCCAAGGAAGAACAAAGTGAACCAAAGTCACGCTGGCCTTCTGCACCAAGCAGGAGTTACCTCCCCCTTGCTTAACTGTTACGAGGGCCAAACCAACACTGGTCCCATCAATCCCCCTGAAGTAACCCCATTTTCTGGCTCAGCCACCCCGTTTCGTTTCTGCCGAAAGACCCCCTTCCCCTCATTTCTGGGCCAGGAAACAACCGCACCTGCCGTGCCATCCGGGGGTGCAATTTTCATGGGGTAGGGCGGCACATGGGCTGTGTCTGGACCCCCATCCTTGCAGGGACAGGTGAAGGGGATGCGCTCCTGGTTGCAGGCAAACTTGATGAATTTGCAGAGCTCCTCCTGAGTAAACATCTCCAAGGCTCCCCAGAAGAATTCAATATGCTGGTCGGTCTCCATCAGCCCCACTTGGTACATGGTGTGTGCCTGTGGGTGGCCAAGGGGGAGAGACAGGAGGGGGCAAGGAAGGGAA